CCCCCGGCCCCCCCCCCCATGGGCCCCCAGCCCCCCCCCCCCCCGTGCCTAGGCGCTCACCCCCAGGCCCGCAGTCACCTCCGCCGTGCTACCCCCATGGCCCCTGCAACTGCCGGCCCCAGCAGGTCTGGGCTGCCCGCTTTTCCCCCACCTCACTGCCACTGCTGCTATCCTGTCCCCACTCCCCCTCCGCTCCCTGCTGTGCAGACACATGCCTGCAACACCACATCAGAGTGGCCAGGCCGGGCCAGACCAAAGGTCCAACTAGGCCAGTGTCCTGTCGGCCCACAGTGGCCAAGGCCAGGTGCCCCAGAGGGAGGGAACAGAAACAGGGAATCCTCAAGTGAGCCATCTCCAGACACACCGAGGCGAGGGACACCATTCCTACCCATCCTGGCTAATGGCCACTGAGGGACCTAACCTCCATGAATCTATCTAGATCTTTTCTGAACCCTATTAAAGTCCTAGTCTTCACTACATCCTCCAGCAAGGAGTTCCACAGGTTGATGTTGCACTGCATGAAGAAAAACTTCCTTTGATTTGTTTTAAACCTGCTGCCTATTCATTTCATGGGGTGACCCCAAGTTGTGGGAGTAAGTAAATACCTTTTCCTTATTCACTTTCTCCACACAACTCAGGATGGTACAGACCTCTCCCAGATCCCCCCTTGGTCTCCTCTTTTCCAGGCTGAATAGTCCAAGTCTTTTGAATCTCTATTCACATGGGATCTGTTCCAAACCCCTCATCGTTTTTGTTGCCCTTTTCTGAACAACCCCTCCCAGGGGGACTATGGCTCCCTCTGTCCCCGGGATCGCCTCCGCCTCCCGCCTCCCCCAGCTGGCTTCGCTCTCTGTAGCATCCTAACCAGCTGCCCCTCCTCTGAGCCAAGTTCCTTCCTGCTCCCCAACAGCTGCGGCGCTGCTGGTCCCGGGCATTCCGGCTCTGTGCTAGCACCGCCACTGCCCGTTCCCTCCCAGCCACACAGCCCTCCGGACACGGGGGGCCTCCTCTTACCCTCAGCTCCTCGCCCCTTTCCTCCTCGCAGGCTCTCTCCTCGCTCAAGGAGACCTTACAACGTGAGCTCGCGCTGGAAGCCGAACGTGGACTTAGACCACGATCCACCCAGGCCTCAAAACACACGAGCACTCCCCATGGCCGGCAGCGGGACTGGGCCCAGCCACACAGCCCTCCGGACACGGGGGGCCTCCTCTTACCCTCAGCTCCTCGCCCCTTTCCTCCTCGCAGGCTCTCTCCTCGCTCAAGGAGACCTTACAACGTGAGCTCGCGCTGGAAGCCGAACGTGGACTTAGACCACGATCCACCCAGGCCTCAAAACACACGAGCACTCCCCATGGCCGGCAGCGGGACTGGGCCCGTCAGGTATGCATGGGAGGGGGAGGCGTGTCGCTTCCCAAAGGAAGGAGCCGAGCCATAACGCTGCTCTTTAAAGCAACCTCAGTGGCTCAGAGCCCTCGTGTGGCGGAGCCGCGTGACCGTGCGGGAGAGGGCATCGTACCTGGAGAGCTGCTGAACGTGTCGGACGAGTCCTCGGAGGAGGAGCCGTGCGTTAGGACGGACGACGACCTCGTCGCCATTCTATTGCTCGCGCTGGCTCTCACTGGAGGCTGGAACAGAACGGGAGAATTACGATACCTCGCAGAAGGCATCCTCCCAGCGTGGGGGGAGGGGCCAGTTGCAAGCTCGGTCCTGGCCCATGGGCCATGGCGGGGGGGGAGGATTTGGAGCAATGCTCTGTGCTACGTCTGCGCCCCGTTCTTCAAAGGGAGCAGAGCTGGACCCTTGAGCTTTTCCTCTCCGCAGCAGGCGGCTCACGTCTCGCCTGGCTGGGGCTCTGCGCACCAGGCGCAGTATCAACGTCCCCACCCCCACGCGGGGGAACGGGCGGGTTAGTCGCTTGGTCCTGGGATGGATGGCAGGTCGTCATGGCAACGCTGCAGGCCGATTTAGAAGTATTGTAACTTTGGCTACCGCGTGTCCCCTTTTGCATCGGGACGTTCCATCCTCATTTGGTTTAAGGCACCATTTTAATACAATTCTACATTTAAAATGAACAAATACTAAGCTACTACAGTTCCACTTTCCGGCTCAGTCCCTTGCCTGCGTGAATCAATGAAGCCAAGTTGATTTACGCCTGCAGTGTTCAGATCACTGCTGAAATAAGAAAATAAACTGGAGTGCCAGGAGGAGCAGACAATTGAAATACCGGCTGACAGGGTCTGTCCGATCACTGCACCTGTCTCTGTTCCAAAGCCCTTGCCTAAGCTACTACAGTTCCACTTTCCGGCTCAGTCCCTTGCCTGCGTGAATCAATGAAGCCAAGTTGATTTACGCCTGCAGTGTTCAGATCACTGCTGAAATAAGAAAATAAACTGGAGTGCCAGGAGGAGCAGACAATTGAAATACCGGCTGACAGGGTCTGTCCGATCACTGCACCTGTCTCTGTTCCAAAGCCCTTGCAGATCACAGAGACGTGTCACTGAGTGCGGAGCCATCTCGGCTCCAGCGTGGCCTCAGGAATGTCTGGTTGGAGCCCACAGTGTCTGCTAGCATCACAGCAGGGCCCTGGACAGACATCCTGCCGGATTTACTCCCTTTCGGGGACGGGCAGCGGCACGGGCGTTCGTGGCGGGATGCCGAGCGCCGCCGGAGCGATGTTCCGGGAGAACAGCTCGCTGGCACTCGCCGGGAAGGCAGCGAGTGTCCCGCGCTCCTGCATTCCGAGCGCGGGGGCATAAACAAGGTTTGGGGGGACTCGAGACCATCACTCCCCCAGGGAGCTCTCAGCACATCATGCTGCAGCACTGGGTCAGAGCAGCGATCAGAATTACAGCAAGGCCTCTACCGCCACTGGAGGGCCCCCCCGCCAAGCAAACGGGCAGTCGCGTGCGCCGGAGAGAAAAGGGAAAGAAACCGGCCCTGGAACTTACCCGGAACTGGGTGAAGTCAGAGTAGGTGGGGTCGTACGTTTTGCGATGGGCCTCGAGAAGCACGTCGATGACTCTCTGCTGCTCCTCCGACAACTTGGGCTTCATGCTTTCTTTAAGAGCCTCTTCCTCCTTCCGCCTCGTTATCAGCTCTCTCTTCCTCTGGACCTCCTCGTCAGTCAGAATAACTGCGCAGGGAGAGAGAACGAGCAAGAGTCAAAAATCACCACCCAGGAACGAGCTGCGGCTCCCTAGACCCGGGTCAAACCAACGATCCTGCAGCCGATGCCTGAGACCACGACCTGCACGACCTGTCCCTTCCGTATGTCAACTTCCTTCCACCGGCACGTCCTCCCCGGGCTTTCGAGCTCCTGCAGTGGCAGGTCCCCGCTTCCTGTTGCTATTGCAAGCCGGACCAGCAATGTCACAACTTCCATAAGCCTAGGGAAGCTCCTGACCCAGCGCCCAGAGAGAGGGGTGAGGAACGTTGGGATCACCAGCCTCGTCGCTTGTAGCACGTGGGCGACCTTCCATGGAGAGCCCGTGGCGCCCAGCACGTGGACAGACTGCCTGGCTCAGGCCGGACGCAGAGCTCAGCCTGCGCTGGAAAGCCAGTCTGGTCCCACCCACCCTGCCTCTCTGCTCACACACTAGTGACTGAGGGAGCTAGGCCTGAATGCAGAAGCCAGACTGGGTCAGAGCCAGGGCCCATCTAGCCTCGGGATGGAACAGTGCAGTCGCCTGACCGATTAGCCGAGACGCAGAAGCTTATAGGTTAACGCTATGGACCACACCCCCCTCCCCCTGTTTTGCCAGTAAATGTTTTAGCAGGCTGGCCAGCAACGGGTCTGGGACCTACCCCTGCTGCGGCTCTGCATTTAAACCATATTAGGAGCTGGGCAGGCAGGCAGCCTGGCTGTTACCACCCCGTGCTGCTGCCGCTTTATGAGACAGGCAGCCAGTCCACGAGGGGAGCAGGTTTTAAAACAGGCTTCCCTCGTGGACCAGGTCCCGCCTGGCGCCCCGCGCTGCTGCCTCTGGTACAGAGAAGTGGCCGGGGGCTCCCCGGGAGTGAGGCCAGAGTCCCCGCCCCCAGGGACTACAGTCGACAACCGGTAAGAATTCATTAGGTTACTTGACCATTCAACTAACCGACATTTAACATCCCTAGTCTAGCCCAGCCCACTAGCCGGTCTTCCCAGAGCGGCCAACGCCAGGTGCCCGAGAGGGAATGAACAGCACAGAACAGGCCAAGTCCCAGTGATCCCAGCTCCCGGCAGTTTAGGGACACTGGAGCAGAGGATGCATCCCTGACCACCCTGGCTCTAGCCTTCGTTAACTCATCTTCGGGGAACCAAGCGGTGCCTCATCCCACGGAAAGGAGTTCCACAGCGTGACCACGTGCTGGCACGTTCTATCCCACGGGACACACAACAGTCCTTTACAAAGTATTTGCAAAAGAACCGTGCCGCGTGGCACCGAGGGCGCTGGTGCCTGCCTGTCCTGGTGACTGGGCCACCCGGAGCCTTGGGGACTCCCCCACCTAGGAGCCAGACCTACTACGCTGGCTGCTTCCCCCCCAGCCACAGCTCGGAGCTGCTTCTGGGTTTGGGGTGAGGCAGCTCCCCCCTCTGCAGCCCTGAGCCCATGCAGGGCTTAATGGGAAGCTGTGCAGCGTAGCGGGAACGTCCCCTAATTCTTGTGTTAGGAGAAGGAGTAAATAGCTGGGTTTCAGTTTCCAATGGGCATTCATTTGCATTGCTCAACAGGAAACGGCATCTGCCATTCTGTTGCCCAGTCACCTAGTTTTGAGGGATCCTTCTGCCTGGGACTTAACTTTCTGGAGAACTTCAGGGTCATCTACACGTTTTGCCACCTCCCCATTTACCCCCTTTCCCGACCATTTACACAGATGTTGAAAAGGCCCAGAGCAGACCCGACCCCTGGGGGACACGACTAGTTACCGCTCTGCATGCTGGAACCTGCCATCTATACCTAACCCTTTGTTTAACCAGCCCAGGAGAGGACCTCCCCCTTGTCCCATGGCAGCGTCCTGTGCTTTAGGGCCTTTGACAAGGTCCCTCGCTAAGGGCTTCTGCAAATCTAAGTACACGGTACCACTGGCTCCCCCTTCTCTGCATGCTTCCTGACTCCCCTAAGAACTTCAGTAGGTCGGTGAGGCAGGATTTCCCTTTACAAAAACCACATTGGCTCTTCCCTATAAGGTATGTTCAGCCGTGTGTCCGACAATATTGTTTTTTACTGTAGTTTCAACAGAGTTTGCCTGGCACTGAAGCCAAGCTAACCAGTCTAATTGCCGGGATCGCCTCGGGAGCCAGTTTCTTAAAAATGGCCTCACATTTGCCACCTTCCAGTCACTGGGTGCAGAAGCGGATTTCAATGAAACGTTGCAGGCGACATGGCTGGATCCCCTCCCATGAGAGACAGGTGTGTCTGCAGGGGAATGCCTGGCTGCAGAGAGGGCTTTGGTTCCCATGACCCCGGGATGCTGCTCCAGGAAGAAGGGCTGCTAAGCAGGGGTGGGGCTCACCTTTCGAGGAATGGGGGGAGAGTACTTGGAAACACGCTGGCTAAGCCAGTGAGGAGGCTGCACGCTAGGTTCTACGGGGACAGGTAAGTGAACACGGAGAGCGGGGAGATGGGTCAGAAGTGGGAGGGACGGGGGCTGTGGGAGCGGAGGGCACCCAGCACCTAGCAGCTTCAGACTCAAACCCCAGGGTTCCCACAGAGAATACTGCTCGCAGCTCCTAGGGAGGGCAAGAGGAGCTGCTGGGCGGGGAGGACATTTGAAAGCCTGGCCCCTTATTTAGGTGCCTAAAAGGGGAATGAGCAGTCTGACAATCTGGCTCCAAATGTGGGTGCTGAGTTCCTTTGGAAACCCTCCCTCCAGGAGCAGTCATTCGGGGAAAGCCCGGACCGCCCGCCCCCTCCGTGCCTGGAGCTCTGTGCTTTGCTTCGTGGGAGCACAGAGCACCCATCAGGACGGAGACATCAACGTCCTAGGGTTCGCGGAAATACCTGGGCCCCGCCACAAAAATCTTACAGGCCAGCTGAGAAGCCCCACAGAATTCCACAAACAACTTGCTCTTGGGCTGAGAACACGCACAAGCTCCGTCAGCTCAGAAGGTACCTTTGGTCAAGGGCTCCAGGCACCCGCAGTACATACAGGCCGTCCCCACGGTAAGGCCAAGAGACATTCCAAAAAACTTGGCCTTATAGGGAAACAACTTCAAAGTGGGGAGTTTCCCCCTGCAGCTGACTTCCATTTGTGCAAACTGGGTGGTTTTTTTTTCCCTCACGCAACTTAAGAGCGGTGATTGGGAGGACTTAGAACGCATCAGCTCCTACAAGCGTCTGCACCGGGGCAACTTATAGCGGGGCGCCCTGTAGCCAGTTGAAGAACTTTGAAACCATAACTACACTGCTGTTCTCTCAAGATTATAATGAACCCCGTGACATAGGCGGCAGAGAGAATTAATCAGTGTATTTCATCTTTTGATCAGAGTTTAGGACTGCAACCACGGATATTTTTTTCCATCTATACTTAAAGCTGGTCATAGAAAGGTTCTGTTTTAATACACGGACATAATTCACCAGAGCAAATACACCTCAAAGGGTTGGCAATAAAGCCTAAATATAGCATTCGTTTTTCACATACGGTAAGACAGAAATTGTTTTTTAACCTACCATTAACTAATAGAAGAGATTTATCTTCTGGCTGGAGGCTTTTTGGCCACATTAGGCTGCAGCA